GGATGAGGGAGAAAACAACTGTCCAAAGTTCAGTTGCCCCCTCGCTGTTTTTTTTATCAGTTCTTTACAAGCACAGTACATCTTCAGTGCCCTGATGTACCCTAACCAGCACCTGGATCATAGAGTTGAGTCACACAGGTGATGGGGCATCATTGCATGTTCGAAGGCAATAGTGGAGGGAAAGACAGATCAGGACCCCAGAGCTCTTTTTTTGTTTTTGTTGTTCCACAGCCATGCCTGGCCACATCTCTCTGCCACACACACACACACACACACACACACACACACACACACACACACCAGTTCAAATAGGGCTCCCCTTCATCCAAGCGGCTTCTCACAGTTCTCTTCATTTCTTGTTGGTGTTTTTCTCTGTATAATTCTTCTGCTGTTTACCTTGGAAGAGGGAGCAGCAACCACACTATTTCAGTCAGGAGGCAAACTCAAGGATTTTGAGCACTTGCTCTGGGTTAGACACTGTTCTAAGGATGTCACCCACATTAACTCATTTAACTCTCTGAGGTTATATTGGCTGCCCCATTTTATAGATGGGAAACTGAGACATAAAGAAGTTAATTAGCTGGCTTAACTAACTGAGTCAGGACTCTCACCCAGGCAGTCTGGCACCTGAGTGGTCTCTCTTACCCTCTGCCGATTTACCCATTGCCCTGTATGGGGACAGGTTAGTGTTGGCCAGGGCATTGCCCCATGATGTCTAGTTTATGAGTCACTGGCCAGAAGAGAGGAGGGAGGGGTGACTAGGACAAGGCATTAAGAGCCAGGCCTACTGTCAGCAGCATTTGATCCCAGGCAGGAGACTCTGATGGATCTCTTTCAGGACAGGACACAGGCCCTGCGTGGTTAGAGGGGAAGGGAGAAGTGTGAGTGAGTGTGCGTAAGCCCAGCCTAAAGGAGGCCTGATGTCAGTTCTCTGTGCATCTGTCTCTGAATTTGACATGGGGCATAAATGGGTTGGTGTGAAATTCTGTCCTGCGTTTTCCATCTACTGAGTTTGAAGTCCTTCCAGTGGGAGCATCTGAGTGTGCTGGCACAGCTCTGGCTCAGGAACCATTCGAAGCCTCCCAGAGGCACTGGTTAGGCTGCCAGGACCTGCTGCCATGCTCGCCTCTTCACACCCTGCCTCTTCTTTCCTTCTCTCTTTCCTTTGCTCTAATTGGTCCACATGTATTGGGCGGGGAGGGTGGGGGTGGTGGTGGTGGGCACTGTCATAGACCCTGTGCAGGATACTCTGGATGGACAGGAAGGTAAAAGTCAGTGACCGTGAAGCAGAATGGGGACCATAAAAGTGAACCCTCTGACTCCTGTAATGGGCCCTTGTGAACCGTGGGCATCATGAGCTATGGTAATAGCAAGGCCAGCCTCTGGTGTCTTGATTCTTGATGCACGGCTCTTTCTGGAAAACCACACTCTCTTCTCGCTGCTGCTGAAGTGCCAGATACTTTTTTAGCTGGTGTTGCTCAAAGAGAATCAGAAACTGGTTTGAGGAGTGTCTCCTCTCCTGCTGGAGTGCTTGTGGCCTAAGGTTTCAGGCAGGCTGGCACCTCGTCTGAGTGTGGCTGACAGGCAGGCCTCCTGGCCCCAGGGACTTGCTACATGCTTTCTGAGCCACAAAATATGTCACTGTGGGTACCCAGCTGCCATCCTTCTCCCTCCCCCATTCCCTTCCACTCCTTCCTCTTTCCTAAACCTACACTTTATAATCCCAGTAGCCTCTGCCCCCTTACCTGTGCCTCCCCCTGTGGTCCCCTCTTCTGGAATTCCTTCTGGAAAGTCTGAGAAACCTGAACACTCGTCTAGCTTCATCTGCCTGGGAAAGCGAAATGAAATTAACAGCCAGGAGTGCTTCCAGTGTGCGAGGGATGGTTTGTGGTGCCTTGCATACGATATTTCATACAGATCTCACAACAGCTTGAGAAGGAAATGTTTATTGTTGAAGGTCCTTAGGGTGCTGAGCCCAAGATTAGGAAATGCAAAACGGGGATTCAGCCCTATGCTTGTCTGCCTCTAAAGCCCTCCCCCGCCACCACACCCTTTCCATGTCTGGGTGTTCAGTGAGCCCCCTTCGGTTTTCCCAGTTTTCTAACCTCATAGTTCTGTTCCCAAGCAGGTTGGATATTTTACTCCTCCTTAGAATTAAAAAAAAAAAAAAAAAAAAAAGGAAAAGAAAAAAGAAAGGGCGCCTGGGTGGCTCAGTCAGTTGAGTGTCCAACTTCGGCTCAGGTCATTATCTCATGGTTTGTGGGTTTGAGCCCTGCGGCAGGCTCTGTGCTGAACGCTTGCTCAGAGCCTGGGGCCTGCTTTGGATTCTGTGTCTCCTTCTCTCTCTGCACCTCTCCCCTCATGTTCTGTCTCACTCTGTCTCTCAAAAATAAATAAATGTAAAAAAATTTTTTTAAAGAAAAGAAAAACAAAAAGATAAATGAAATTAAAGGAAATGCTAAACTCTCTCACTTTTTAAAAAAGTTTATTTTATTTATTTTGAGAGAGAGAGACAGATAGCAGAGAGAGGAAGAGAGAGAATCTCAAGCAGGCTCTGCACTGTCAGCACAGAGCCCGATGTGGGGCTCGAACCCACGAACAGTGAGATCATGACCTGAGCTGAAATCGAGAGTCTGATGCTTAGCCGACTGAGCCACCCAGGCGCCCCCCAACTCTTTCTTTTGAGGATCAAACTTCTTACTAGAATGGGTAGAATAACCTATTTCTTAACTGGAAGGGGACGTATGAGATCATCCCATTCAGTGGTTATTTTTAGACTCTTAAACCATAGAATACTTTCTTAGAAAATGATCCTGGGGCCCTGGTACATAAAACACACAGGAGTGCTGCTGGCTGAAATGGCAGGGGGAGCTCCGAACCTGGCCTCTCTGCGTCCTTTACAGCCGGAAGCAAGTTAAGGAAGCCTTGGGTGTCTGTTGAAAACTGTTTGAAAGCTCCTGATTATGTCTCATTTTAGAGATAAGCAAGCTGAGGCCCAGAGAGGGGGAGTGGCTGGCAAGGTCAGGGCTAGTGTCTGGGTCTTCCAGCTTCTGGCTTGCAGCCTTCCACCAAACCCCAGGCCCTGTGTCTTCACAAACCCTGCAGCACACCTGGTCCAGGAAGGGGCT